ATATATATTTTTATATACATATTCATATATATATATATATATACATATACATATATATATATATATATACACATTTATATAAATATTTATATATTCGTGTATATTGATGTTGGTTTCTTTCTTTCTTTCTACATTTGAATGTTCGCGCAGAAACTAATTTGTTACGAAATTCTCGGCTGCACGTACGCTTTTAGGATCTAAGTGACAAAAAATCGAAATCCGACAATGAAGTGAAGCCAACGGCGCTTGTGACCGATATTAGTTCCAGCATTCGATTTCGAATCGAATACACTGCGAATTCCGAGCCAGAAATTGAGGTATGACTATTTTGAGAATTATTTTTGTTGTCCACTTCGCTAGTACGCTACGGTACTGAATTTATTGGTATGGTCTTATCTGCCGATACCCCACCCGAGGTTGCTCTTGTTTCAAATATATACAACCATGGGTCTTTTGCAGAGTCATTGTGTAGATATGCTCACCCAACGTTGACCTTCGCTTGTACATGCAGTGCTTGCTTGTAGCAGCGCTGCTCCTGTTTGATATGCGGCGGAATCCTATCATCACAGGCACACTTCATTTTAAGATAGACGATCAATTCAAAGAATCACTAAACGTTTCATATATCATATGTATATGATATTGGCACTGCAATATCTGTGGCAGTGGTGTAAATAGCTATAGGTCGTTATCTCGGCCATCAAGTACACAATTACAGTAGTTCATGTATACGCATCCCTCGGTCTTATGGCCTAGCACCACACCAACAAGCACTGTTCTCATCACTGCTCCTGCCCTCCCATTTATTTCTTGCTGCGGGGTTCCTTGTATTTCCCACCGCGGTGTTTCCGCTGTATGTTGCAGCGCTGTGGCAGTCTGTACACTCCGGGTAATCTGGATGGCAGCCGTGTGATGTGTTGTCTACCGAGCCAAAGGGAAGACGAGCAGGTATGGTATACGGCCCAGGCTCAGAGTGCAGTTAGGTGGGAGAGTGCTTGTGTATCTATTGCAAGTGTATGGTAACTCACGTACGTATTTAATACTGCTGAATCACAGCAGTGTATGCACAGGTGCGTGTACACATACAGTTCATTCGACGAGTAAGCTTAGTTCCTATATGCAAAGCCTTGTTGAGCACTACTAGGCATCTTTCACTTGCGTATTGGGCGACTTCAGAGAGCCATCCACAGTGGCACTTGATACCATTACGCATGCCTGCGCACGCGCGTTCGTTGCCATGCTCATGACGTTTGTCATCTGCAGCGTAGTGTCGTTTTGAAAGGATTCGTCTGAAGTGGTTCCAAAACGCGTTTGATGCGGATGGGTTTTACGCTAACGTATACTGCCCTGTGTTTAGACCAGAAAATAAGAAAAAACAACCTTCATGCAGTGTGTTCTTTTGATTTGAGCTGTGACCGTGATGTACATCCCTCGGCAACTCTCTAAGCTCATACACAATTACTACAATATAGCGGAGGATTGAACTCTTACATACGCACGACACCATAACGGATACATTGTTATACTGAGTTAGCTCAATGTCTTCTTAGTTCGAAGTGTATAGTATGAATACGCAGAATTCGCCTTCTCCGAGCAAACCATGTAGCCTCACTCACATGTATGGTTTCTACTGCATATATCTGGTACAACGTATCTACATTGCCATACCCCAGGAAAACCCGCAGACCAATACCGAGCCGGAAGCAATCATCGCTGCGCTGATTGGAACCTGCATCGACTATGTAAGTGCCGCTCGTGTGTTATCTGTCTCTGTGAGTGTAAGTGCTCATGGCGAGAGGCGATTGGACATTTATACTTATCTGTTTAATCTCCTACGGTTGGTGTAACACCCGGCCACAGACAACTGTAGCACTGTTTGATCGGTGACCTAGTGACCAGAGTCTAGAGTTGGTGTTTGCGATGTACCGAACTTTACAAATGCATGATTTCCTTGTCTATGGCATCATTCGAGAGAAAAGCTACGAGCGTATTCATCCGCCTATAAAAGGCAATGTGAAAGAAGTGGCTCTCATCTATTTTGGCCTAGTTGTCACGTATGACTGTGCCGCCGCCTTGCTTGAGTGTATGCGCGGCTGTTGTCCCTCCTTGAACACTGAACACTTGAACCGCATCTCTCCATTCCGTCCGAGTCATCCATACAACTTCTTATAGTGGTGTAACCGTGAAGAGCTCTGCCTTTCCAGGTTCCATAACATTCACACGTTGTCACATACGCAGCCATAATCATCGCATGCATGGTCTGCTACTATAACCCTAATGTCTGTCGAGCTACTTACAGCACATGTAGTTGTTTTGTATCTACATAGATTCTTGGATTGATTAGCGAGTTTCACAAACATGTATGTTACATTTACGAACATATTCTGTCACTTTTCGCCAAAGTTTCTAAATCAAGGAGCACGCGTATCTACGCATGTAGTGAAGATTACAAACTACTACGGAATTGCACAAATAAATCTGAAGGCTAGAATGTGCGATATTGATCTTTGTAGTATGATACAACCCCTTAAAGTTATTAACAGACATAAGCATAACATTTTTGCGTTCGCCTCCAGTACGTATCAACTAGTTCATTGTGTTCCATCTCGCCTTGCCTCACAACAGTCCGATGGCTTCTGGTCGTATGAGTTCTGCATCGGCGGTAGTTTACGACAGTTTCTCATAGCCCAACAGACTGACCCTGAGGTGGGTGAAGGGTTATGTGTGTTGGTTTGTGTGTGCGCGGGGGTGAGTATGGATATATGCGTGTTTGTTTGCGTATGGACATATACGTGTTTGGTTTGTGAATGGATATATACGTGCTTGTTCGAATTCTCTGGGTGCTTCTATATGCTTCTATATGCTGTATATGTGCGATAGTATATTGTGGCGTATCTGCATTGTGTGTGTGTGTGTGTGTGTGCGTTTGCAAGGTTATAATGTCTGGTGTGCAAATGCAGAGTTCGTCATTGCTTTGTCTTTATCAGCATATGCCTAGTTGCGCATGTTCTTGTACACGCTGTTTTTCTTTTCTTCGTGTGGTGATTTCTCATTAACAAGAATTTTGCACGTGTGAATCTGACGCATAGAAAGCATGATCGAATGAACGCAAACATCTGACTGCGACAACCGGCAGTAGTAGAGTAGTAATCTTAGCGGATGCGTCTTCGATCATGCATCAATCATCTCGAGGCGAAGCCGTGTTATCTAATACTATCAATGTTGAACGGTTATGATTTATCTAACCGTGGATAATGTTAGTGCTCGCATTATCGTAGTATATCGATGGGAGGCTTTGTGTAATGAGAGAGAGAGAGAACCGTACCGCCACTTCCGAGCTATCGAAATGTATGCTTAAAGGTGCATTCACACTGTATCGTGTTATCCTTTACCTTACGAAGGAATAACAGTATACTTCCACTTACGGTACCCACTTTATGATTCTCTACGCCAGTTTCAGTCTGCCATGCCTCGGTTGCCTCCCACATTCTATCCTAGTGCGCCGAATCAGTGTCTAGCTCACCCACCATAGCCCTCTCTGCATGCACAGACACAGATCAAGCACGACTACAGCCTGGGCACGTACACGAACACGTCCGTCACAGCACAGGCGAGCGACAGCTCAACTGCGGATACTGTCGAGGAGAAGGACACTCCCAGCCCAAACCCTGGCCACGCAGGTGGCTCATCCAGCGACCCTCCCCTACTGCAGTGGGGTGGGCTGCGTTTCCCGTACTTCGAGTGGAAGTATGAGGAGGGCACCATCTGCGATGTGACTGGTGTGTGGTGTTGTCAAGGAGTGTTCGTAGCGTTTGTCATGGTAAACTCAAATGGTCTACGAGGTTAGTGCTACGGCGCAGCGTTGTCTACGTATTGTGCTTTAGTGACGCCCTTGGCGCGTGTTGATGCTGGGGTGCACATTGGCTTGGAACTCGTCAACGAAGTGAGTTAAATAGCTCGCTGCATCCTCTTTCCGGTGGCCGCATGAAGATACGATTCTCTGTGCCGTGTCGGGTGTGTCCGATGGATATACTTACATGTTATGGGGGGGGGGTCGAGCGTCGTCTACAACCCAGCATTACGCACGTGGTTGGCTATATCTGGGTTTATGGTGGTGTCTGATCCGTGAAGTATGAGAAATTTATCACGATCGCTACTACCTATGCGCATGTTTAGGTAGTCACGGGGAGTGTTGTTGCTTGTTGATGAAGAATTCATGTCGTCTGTGCGTGTAGCAGTGTGTAAGTTTGCGTGTAGCTCACATGTAATGTTACGCATAACATACATGTTATGTTTACGTATAACTTGCATGTCATGTTTACGTACAACGTACATGGTGTGATTGTGCCATGGGTATAAACGCATTCGTGGGCAACTCATGTGCAAGACTGGCACAATACATGATGTTGCTGGCTGGTATCGTGAGACTAGCACAAGTTTGACGTTCATGTCTTCTAGTCAGGTTTTAAGTATTCATTTTTCCTTACTTAGCGCAGGCTTAATGAGACTCTAAAGTGTAGTAAACATGCTTATCTGACTACTATCAGTATGTATACTTGATTACTATCAGTGTATGCACGATTACTATCAGTGTCCATGCCTCATCGCACTGAATGCACATCCACGCTCACAGGGAGCCCTAGGAAAACGAGTGTGCGCTTCATCTGCATGCAGGGTGTCCCCGAGATGACGATGCTCTCTCTACAGGAGTCTGTCACATGTGTGTACACGGTACGTGGGTTCATATACGTGCCTCCTCTCAGCAAGGGTGCGTGTGGATGTGTTTCTGTTGGTATAACTGCAATCTTGTCGGATGCGTGGGTATAACGATGGCATTTATTGTGTCTGTAAGAACGTTCTGTGGGTTTACTGCAGACCTGTGTGTGCGCGACTGGTTAGCAACGTTCTGTGTATGCACCCATACCAAACCACCTCATACTTTGAATCTGCCTGTACGAGAGGCTTACGCGGGCCATGTGCGTGTCTACAAAGGGCTCCCGACGTAATTCGTAGACATATTCTGAATGTTTCAAAGCCATTTATTGGGCTGTTCCATGCTCATTAAGACCATTTGGACCATTTGTACCCAATTTGGTTATCAATTGACACGAATTCACCGGCGTGCGGCCATATTGTGCCATTTGATTTGTGCCATTTGGACCCGATTTGGTTGTCAATTGACAAGAATAGACCGGCGTGCGGCCATATTGTGCCATTTGATTTGGACCATTTGTACCCGATTTGGTTATCAATTGACAAGAATACACCGGCGTGCGGCCATATTGTGCCATTTCAGATTGCAAACCTGGACGATTTGTTTAGTCATTCGCCTGTTCGAACTATTTCAATTTTCGCATCAATCCTATATTGATATCTACACTTCCAACCACACCCAATTCCCTGTCTTGAATGGCATCCACAGGCTATTGTAGCAGTGCCAGAACTGTGCACCCACGAGAAGTTCCGAACTTCTTCCGGCAAATATTACGACCTGAAATGTTACCTACCCGACGAAGCCGAAAGGTTCGAGGCCGTCCGAAGTTCAGCCAGGCGCAGGGCAGCAGCCGTATGTGTGTGCACACGTTGAGTGTCTGTGAGTGTCTGTGTTCTGAATGTCTTGCTGCCATATTAGTTCTTTACAAAAACCCATATTACACCGGAAAACTATAAGCGTGTTCAATCCCAGTTGTATAGTCACGTTCTATATGTTATATAGTTTGGGGGTGTTGTTACGGAAGAGCAAGTGGCTTTGTATCACTGGCCTTTTTGTGTGTGTGTGGGCAAACGGTATCTTGTATGTATGTGTAGATATCGTCTAACTCTCCAGGATTTTGATTTGCAAGAGCTCACTTCGTATTCTGGAGTACACGTACGGAAGTTGTGGTGCGGAATACACACACACATACACACACACACACACATACAAACACACACACACACACACACATATACATATATACATATATACACACTCACACATACACAAACACACACACACACACACACACACACACATACAC